TTGCCGGGTAGATTTGCAGCAGGCCCGGATATGTCCGTAAAAGGCACTCAAGAGTTCTAGCGGGGGGGCAAGGCCCCCTACACCCACCCAATATGCATCTTCCTGTCTGCCGCTCTTAGTGTCTCTGTGGCTCACAGCTGCCCTTGGCACTGACTGACTCATACTTGAGACATGTGGCTGAGAGGCTCTGAGATGGCTGCTCCATCATCAGAAACCCTAGCTCTTCCTAACTTTGTGTCCCCAGCTTCAGGGTGGTTTTGATTTTACAGTCCAATGTGATGGCTACAGCTCCAGGCATCAGGTGCATATTCCAAATGGCAGCAAGAAAGTAGAAATGGAGGCATAAAGTCATTTCACCTGCCTTTAAAGACAGTGTCACAGAATATAATGGCCTAGCCCCATCCAGCTTTGAGAAAGACTGAATAATATAGCCATTGCCACAAGCAGCTACATACCCACCTAACATTTAAGGACCTCTTCATTTGAAAGGAACAGGTGGGAACTGGGCCAGAAGTCATCCCTGCCAGTCTCCTCCAGGAAAGATAGCTGGGTGTGGAGACTGATGCAGGAGGATTGCCAGAAGTTCAAGGCTAGCCACTACAAAGGGAGGCCCTGTCCCCAAAAAAATAAATAAGAAAGAGCACAGGATCATTAGAGTAGTGTGTGGCTAACTTACCCAGCACTTGCTCCACCCATTTGACCCATAGTCAATCAAAACGCATCTATTAGGGGCAAAGCCCCAGGGATAAGGAGAACAGAGGTATTTCCACGCAACACTTGCTATGAGCAGAGGAGCAGTGAGCACAGGGGGCTGCACCCAGCCTGGGTGGCACACAGAGGAGGTGATGGCCTGCCCAACGCTGCAAATGCGAACTGAACCATGGATAACCAAGGACCAGGAGCAAGTCGTGCCCCTGATCCTACTAGGCACAACCTGGACCCAAGAGATTGTGGACATGATCCAGAACAACGGAGACTTGCTCATGTGCCAGCGCGCCAACACCTTCGACCGGCACCCCTTCATCGAGTGGACGCTGCCCCCGCCCCTCAATTCAGGTGAGTGACTGCCACACCAGCCATTGTCACTTAGAGGAAAACCTGGCCATGTCGGCCTTCTAGAGAGCTCTCCAGGTGGGCATGGGGAGGAGGTGAAGGCAGCCCAGGTCCACATGAACAGGTGAAAAACCCCTTAGAGCCTTTACTGAAATACAGGACATGGTGGCATGAGACAGATACTGCCTGCTTCTAGGTGCTTGGGAGTGGCCTGAACTTGTATCTCTGGGGAGCAGTGCTCTGTTTGGGCCTTGGGGTGCCCCAGAACCCCTGGGGTAAAAACTTGCTCCAGAGAAAAGGATGCCCATTATCACCACTCCTGTTTAATATAGTTCTGGAAACATTAGCCACAGCAATTAGAAAAGAGAAAGAAATAAAAGGAATAAAGATAGGAAAGG